AGCTCAAATAAAAGATACGAAATGGACTGATCAGAGGCACGAGCAAATCTGAAAAAACCAACAACTTTTTGTCCAAGCTGTCCTGATCAACCTCAACTTTGCAGAGAATGTTTTAATGTTATACACTGCGAATAATCTTTTTAATAAACCATTTTTATAAGAATTCAATAGTTTCATTACCTCCTGTAGAATATTTGTCGAAATATCTTCGGAAATCCTTTGTAAGTAGTCAAATCAGCGTCACCCGAATTACGGGTGACGTGGCCTGATGAGAACTTTTGCTGNATCTTCGGAAATCCTTTGTAAGTAGTCAAATCAGCGTCACCCGAATTACGGGTGACGTGGCCTGATGAGAACTTTTGCTGTCACCCGAATACGGGTGACGCGGCAGTCAACGTGTTAACACTAGATTTACAGAGCACAAAAAACAGCTCTTTTATATTAGTTTATAAAAGTAACAATAAGATATTTATCTTGATTTTGAACAAGTGTTATTGTAAGATTTGCCGTAAATAACGTATAAATTGAATAAGTAACTCATAAATGTATCTTAACGATATAAATAATCGTAAATTGAAAAATTAGTGACCCGTCATTTCGACGGGTTCCGTAAATCTAGCGTTAATTGTACCTCCTCTTCCCAAATTGTTCATTAATTGAAAGTAAACTTGCGTTGGTACTTTCTGTGTATCAAACCAGGGAATCTGTTCCTTTTTCTAATGCAGGTCTGTAGGAAAATTAGATTTACGTGAAAAGTGAATTTAATTCTCCTATAAATTTATTTATAAATTTTACGAATTCTTAAGAGAAAGTTAAATTTTTTTTTTTTTTAAGAATACTAATAATTTATTCAAATAGAATGTCACGTCATCGAGGGTTAATAAATTTCCATTAAACGTGGGAAGACCATATAACATCACCAAAAAGCGTTACAAGTTCAAAGATTTGCTCACAAGTGCCAGTTTAATTTATATAATATTCCTCCATGCGCTGCGGGACATTTGTATAATTACTAGCACTGTATGTGTTACATACAAACCAATAAATTAAACCCTGGACGTACTTTGCGCCGGGTGATTTGCAAAGAGCTTTGCCGACATTCTATTGGCTTGGTCAATAATAAGTCGTCGCGTTTCTTTTTCTGCATCGCCACCGGGAAAATACGCAATGGCTTATTGGCCAACTCGATAATTAAACTGTCAACGAATACACGCTATACGAATATACCATACGTCGGCGGAGTTTCGTGCTCGGTAATTCCGTCGTTAAGAGTTGCCAATAAAAGTGCAAACGAGACGACTACGTGCAAACACCGGAGAAGACGATGTTCGAAAGGAAGGTAAGGCTCCGGTTTCCCACGGAACAACAGGACAGTGTTCCACGCTAGGTACCGTTGCATTTCCGGCAAGGAAGCTGAATCCGACGGCGAAGCTGGCGGTAGTGGGAGCGAGCACGTGGTCGCGTATTCACCCCGAACAAAGAAGAGAGCTAGGTGGTTGAATAAGGGCGGGAGAAGCGCGGGCTGCGCGCGCAGCCGCGGACCATGCTTGCCGCCGGTGGCTCATGGGTCGGCCGCGTGGTCGGGCCGCTTCAGTAACTCCGAGACCGTCGAGCGGGAGAGTCGCGTTCGTTTCCGAGCAATTCGAACGACAGAGACGCGCCAAAACGGTGTTCGCGTTTTCGCACCGATCGACAATCTTTTATCGTTCGCGACCTAACCGTCGCGAAAACCTGCCCTTTCGATAACCGTCGACCGACTCAAGTGACGAGTGCGTGTGCAGTCTGCGTACTCGAAGGACCTCCTCCTACCTGTCGAATTCCAGTGAACGAACATAACATTCACGTAGTTCTACGCGGTCAGTCGACTTCCAGTAATCCGCGTTGCTCGGTCTCCGGATTCCCCGCGAGATCCTAGAGCAGATCTTCTCTTCGTGTCGGTTACCCGTGATGCTCTCGGCCTGAGTTCCGGGACGGAGCCGTTAAGTCTGCTTCGAACGATCGTCATGAAGCTGTTTCTTCGCGTAGTATCGTTACTATCCGCGGTCGCGATTCTCGTCGACTCGGTGCCGACGGATTCCGCGCATTCGAAGATCGAGGTACTGAAGTGTTGCCTGGACAAAGAGGAGCTGGTGCGCGACTCCGACGGCAATCCGGAGTCCTCGGCCCGTTGCGAGCCCACCGGCTATATCTGGCGGCCGTTCATCTATTCGCCGTCCCTGGAGAACACCCTTGACCAGATCCCGCGGGAGTGGAACGTCATTCGCGGGAAGAAACCCGACTGCGACGACAGCCACGAGCTGACCTACGTGCCCTACAGACAGAGCAATCCGTTCGTGCTGTTCGACAACGGACAGGTGGTGCTGGACGTTCACATCGGGAACAGGTTCGAGCCTGGACAGTATTGCGCGGATAACCAGGCTCTGATCGCCTGCATGCCCAGGAAAATGGAGGGAAACCACGCGGCCGCCACCATGAGGCCGCGCGTGCGGCACTGTTGCGGTCAAACCGGCGTGTTTCACGAGGAAAAGTGAGTCTCTCTCTACTATTTTCTTTGCTTCATTTCTATGGAGTTTCAAGGCGTCGATTGTGTGTATTCGACGTTAGAACTGCCGGGTCTCGAATTAGATTAACGCATATTGTTTTGTGATAATGACAAGATTGGATTTTACTTTTTTACTATAATTTACTACTATTTATTTTACTATAATTTACTTTTTACTATAATTTCTATGATAATGTTTGCGGCTGTAAGGAGGATCACTGCCAGTCACAATTACAAACAAGTTAAGGTATTGCATTTATTGGACGCATGTGAGATATAGCATATTGTAGCACATAGGATTTACGTATTTGTCAGAGAAAACATCGTGAACACGAATTCTATAGACTGAAGAAAATAATGCAATTTGAGACACTAATATTACAAAGTGATTAGAACTCTATGCGATGGTATATCTGGAAGTGGACACATGTGACTTGCGGCGATCTTCCTTGAAGCCACAGGTACTATAAATCCTTCACAATTGGACCACAGTTTCAAAACAAAAATGCACAATTTGGAAAGAGGAGATACCATTATTCGAGCCTCGCGTGTCGCTTTTACAGTCACCGATTGTCAACAACTAAAAAAGCCTCGAATAATGATATCTCTTCTTTCCAAATTGTGCATTTTTGTTTTGAAACTGTGGTCCAATTGGGAAGGATTTAAATTGTTCTACTGCAATACTGAGACATTTAAAAAAAAATGGGATTTAGAGTTACATTCATGCTTGGATTGCCAACTATTTCTTTTGCAATGAAAATTAGAAGTTTCAGATAAAACCACTCCAAAAATCACTCCATTCTTGCATCAGTTTTTGCAGCAACAAATATAATCTGGCTTCTTTAAATTACTCTTCAGATAGCTCTTAAACACATAAAATAAAAATATTAAATATATTTTAACACTTGACAATAGCAACAAAGATTTGAAAAAAAGAAAGGTATTTCACGAGAACACCGTGAATTAAAAATCATCAAAAAGTTATTACAATAACAAATCAGTACGAAAGGAACAAGAAAATCGGAACCATAGATTCTTCTCAACACTGCGAACCAAAGTCGAAAGAAACATTTGCCGCACAATCGAGTGACTTTGATTGTCACACGTCGCGGAGAATTATGAAACGCGTCAATAACGTCTTCTCGTCACGCGACGGTCCCGTTCGTAGACTTTAATACAGAGTTGCGGGTTGACGTTGGATTCTTGTAGATTGAATATCGGAATCAGGGAGGAGCATCCTATTAACTCGGACGGCTTAATAGAGCCAACAGAGGCTCGCTAAACAGGAACGATCCGGGTCTAGTGTGTCTAGCGATCCTTTTCTCTCAGCAATCTGTGGTTAATGCCAGTCTAAACTCGTTTATACACATAGGGCTGGTAGCAGCCTAATGCGAAGCTGTCAGGAATGGTCCACGAGCTCTGAGACAGCCCGTATGTCTCATGGGCGAGCTTGGTTTATGGACGATTAGATTAACATTAGAGGCCATTATCTGGATAGATCGAGATTTAACACGGGAACGTAAACGATCGGCGACAATGCACGCGTACCTGACAATCAATTGTATTCGATCGGGCACGGGGCTCGAGAGTCACTCGCAATCAAACAAATTATCTTTCTTTCGCTCGCACAGAGATACAAACTCTCTCTTTCTTGTACTTGTTAGATTGAGTGTATAGAATACTCTATTTCTTGTTTATGAATCTATCTGTATATTTGAATTATTATATGTATAAATACATATACATAAATTTTCTATTTTGTAGCACATAAGGTAATCCAACCGACTATACCATAGGCGCCACGGTGTCCCTCTTTCCCTCTCTCTCTCTCTCTCTCTCTCTCTCTCTCTCTCTCTC